CTAGAAAAGTCCGACCTGAAGGTCTCTTGTCAGTAAATGCTGAAGTGCTTTTAGACCTGGGCAAATGGGATACTTCGACTTTCTGTTGTGGACATTTAGGCAATGGCTGTTTGGCAAGTTTGGATCCAAGAACGGCGGTGAAAATTTCCCCGAAAGAAGAATTTCCTTGTTCTGAAAAGAAAGAAGACGCCAATTGGGAACTTTTGGGTCCATTGGAAACACGATTTCGTCGAGTTGGAGACAGGGGAGTTCGGGAGCCCGTGGAAGTTGACTCCGATCTTCGATAATCCCCAACAATTCCTCTACTAATACTTCCACGTCTAACCATGCAGGAGTCGGGACGGGCACTGAATTGTGAAAAAGGAAAATAAAAATTTGCAGAATGCGGACCAAGCCAAATATATGAAATTCTTGGTTTTTATGCAGACTAATGTGAGTGGAAAGTATGGTTAAACTAGTACACTTTCAAAATATCAGGAGGTTGTGGCCAGTTTGTTGATAAACTAATTAAAATTATAGTTGTGACAGAATTTTAAGCACCAATAAACAAATAAATCGATATTACTCGAAGAAATTATAAATTTTCCCAGAATGTGTCAGGTTAGATGTGATTTTATGCAAATAATTCAATGAATAAGGGACATCCACTAATTTGCATGCATGTGATTTAGTGGGTGACAAAGGTTCGCCTATAACTTGGCGAGATAAGTGATTATTAAACTTAATTAAGTATGCACCTAACTCATATTTGCCTAATAGTGATAAGCAGTAATGGAATTTACCACTGTTCGTAAACGTTTCTGCGTAATTTTAACTTATCGACTCAACCGTAATTACACTAACTCCATTTACATATTTGATTTTTGGTTAAGAGTGACAATTTCTGACATTCTTGCAAGGGGGAAAAATGTTTACTTTAGTTTACAAAACAGTCCTCTCGGGCGTCAACAGTTTCGTGAAATACCTTCCATATTTTAATTTTCGACATGATATACTTTGAAAGATATCATGGTAAATAAAGAGATATTAAAAATTAAAATTAACTTGGAGTTAAATGAAAGCAATTAGAACTAAAGTCTAGCATCCAAAGGTGCTTAGAAACGGAATAACTTAATTTTTTATTTCACGTGTATAATTGGGGGGTGAAAAAGAGACGGCCAAAGAACAGTATGCAGGGCCTTATTCGCAAGAACCTGTTAATCACCAGCTCAAATAGATAAGTGAATAGAATATATATTATGTAGTTGACGCATAAAAAGTTAATTCACGTTACTCCAATATACAGGCGATTATGAGTTCTTACAGTTGCCAAACTTACAAGGTGAGAGTTCCAGACTCCATTTCTCGATCGGATAAGGCAAAATGCAGGAGGGCTGGGAAGGGATTCTTCTTACAAAGAGCCACGCGTAATAATGTGAATGACTGACGAATCACACTTCACTCCTTCGTTCATACGTTAGTGGCAGAAGCACTGCTCCTGCAGAAAGAGCTAATTCCTTAACGGCTAAAAAATGAGGCCTATCGCCCTGATGACGCTTCTTTAATGGGTGCACTCTGCAAGTAGTTGTAACAGTCGTGCAGAAGACGTTGCACCGTTATGTCTCACTTGCGTGCGCCAAATAGCCTTCGTCAGCTGTTTTCGTGATGCGCGCCACATTTGGTGCACCACGTTGGGGAGTTCTGATTGGTCTAACGACGGTTCGCTGCAAAATTGGTCAGCCAATCAAATTTGGAACCATCTGATTTGATAAGTAAACAAATATTCCTTCACACATAACTAATTACCTTCCTAATTTTAACTGGATACTATTTATTTGATTTCCTTTAGTCACTTCTTCAGCATTAATAGATTTGTTACTTATACCTCTTCAAGATTGTATCATGCATAACGTGTAAATTCCATGTTTTCAATGGAGTTAACTGCAATAATCAGGGAATCGCAAAATGAGTAAAATAAGCAATGTACTTAAATATTATAAGTAAAGTTAATTTTCAGAACTCGTTTAAAATTTTATTATTAATTTTCAGATTTTT